ACAGTGGACCCAAAGGGGAATAAGAACAAGCACATAACAGATCTATATAAGAATTAAAATATCCATTGTCAATTTTCCTACAAAGGATGGATTAAAATTTTTAATTTTGTAACATGGATACTTCCAAATGGAATACTCAATAAACAGAATACATGGCAGGATGGAGAAAGAAAAAAACCCAGTATGTGCCAGACATAGTGCCAGAAACTTCTTACACTTAGGTTCATTTAAACCACACAATCCTCCTTTTTAGGGTAGTGGTATCACTTTATACTTTTATTTTACCTTACAGATTCTAATTTTATTGACATCTAAACATATTGATAAAACATAAAATTATATGACAAAATTATAAATTTATCACAAAATAAGCTCCTTTTGTTTTCCATGAACATTAATTTCAGGGTTTTTATTTGGAACATGTTTCCCATATTTTTCATTGTAATTACAAAATAAATTCCATAATATGGGGGGTTGTTTATAAATACAACCAACAATCATGAATGATAGAATATAAATAGACAAATCTGAGACTTCTGTAGTATAACTGAACTCTTTAAGGTCCATTTTTAAATGAACTAATGGTCCTGAAGGAAAAAGTCATTCAAACTCAATTCTGCTTTTAGGACTGAGGCCAAGGAGATTAATTTATCTTCATATATAAGAACTAGCCTCTGTTTAGGGAACAAGTAGACTTGGCAGAATATTCAATGATCTCACCAACAGCCTGGGTAGCATAATAACATTAGGCTGCATGTTTATGGCAGATGATACCACTGATGAATAGCAAGCACACTGCATCCTGACATAGTTCAGTTTGGAAAACCAAAATGCATTCATTAGTTCCATAAAATAGTGATAAATAATACTTTTAAATAATATGAAATAGGAACACAGACATTCATGTATTCATTTTTCTATTCAATATATTTTATTGAGCATAACTGTACAAGATACCCTAAGGAAAACAATAACAAATCAGATATGATCCCTTCCCTTAGAGACATTAACTCTAGGAGGGAGACAAGATATAGGCAAATAAGAGAAAAACTGAGGAATAAATGAGACACAGTGGTGCATGTCTACTTGATAGACTGAGGTAGGAGAATTGCAAGTTTAAGGCCAGCCTGGGCAATGTAATAAGACCTTTTCTCAAAATAAAAAATAACAAGAGTTGGATATGTAGTTCAGTGGTACAGTGTCCCTGGCTTCAATCCCCAGTACCAAAAGAAAAAAAAGAGCAAGGAATAGAGTGATAAATAGCATAAAAATCATGACATTGAGTGCTCTAGGGTTTCAGATTTAATGGCATCAGGTTTAGGCGTGTTGTCTAGGAAGGTGTTCATGAAACTGACAGCTTGTTAGTCATTCTTAAAGTGTAGACAAGATTTCAATTGGCAGAGAAAGAAGGGATTCAAAGGAAGAGGAAGTGAGATGTTACAGGTTGGTTTGGGGAATGCCAAATGGGCCAGCTGAATTTCAGCAGAGATCACATCTAAGAAGCTGCAAAGCAAAGCTAGTGGAGTGGTGGTGGAGGCAGTGGCTATGGAGGGCTGTCAAGAGCAGTGTAGCAGGGGGATACACTGATAATTCTTCAGGGAATTATAAAATTCATCTGTTCCTATAAGACCTCAGCAGGATAGATTAGAAGGAAGAGCGATTGAAGGTTGAAATTCTAGTTAGGAATCTCTTTTAGTGATACAGACATTTGTGTATAAAAAAAGGAGCAGAGAGAAGAAAATAAACATTTATTAAAGCTCACCATTTATTAAAGCTAAGGCATTTAGTTAAGAGCATTAGTTATAATATTCCATTTGATATAATCTCCTCAAATAATTGTGAAAGGTAGATAACTTTAACACTAGTGGAAATGGAGCTCTAATAGAGTTTGCCTTAAGTTATTGAATCAGTAAAAAAAAAAAAAAAGCTAGGAGATGAAACTTCATGTTATTTGCACTACACCACATTGACAAAGGGCATTCCTTTCATGAGCTCTCTGTAATTCCAGATATTATAGCTGTGCCTCCTGTTTAGACTTCAATAATCACATGTAGTAGGAAAATGATTCCAATAATAGACAGATCCACCTTGAAAGCTGCAACAAGGAGACTCTTCTATACTAAACAACTACAGCAACTTTCCTGCTAGACTGAGCTTTTACATGAACAATAGTTCATCTGTCTCTTGATTCTCAAGAGTAATTCCAGGGTATGGTACTGTATGTGCCTAAGAAAAAAAGTTGTTGAATTGAATCAAACCTGTGATTTATGCTATATATTCTGTTCTCAACAGAAGCACCAACAAAATAAAATAGTTTGCATGATTCTAAAATTGCACCTCATGGTTGTTTCCATTGATGAGACTCATTCTAAGACCCAAGACAAACTCTGCTCCTAGTCAGGAGAATATGGGGACTGTACAAGGAGCTCATCAGCATGGTGTCAGGTCAACCTTGCCTGTTCTACTGTATTGCTTCATCCAAGTTGTTGATTCTGGATCAGGCTCTTTCAATTTTTAAAAGCTATAACCCTGTCTTGCTCCCTTCCTTGCCCAGTATTCTTGTCTTTGAAATCTGTCCCATCTTGGTTCCTGATTTCTTCAACAAACTATGAAATATGGCAATCTGCTGAGACCTTCCAGGTTTCTTTCATGTAGTGCTTTCTTTTCTTGTATGCCAAGTTTGCTACCTGGGCCTTTGGACTACCCCAGGTCTGGACTATTCTAGTTGGTCCACAGATATACTTATATACTTTAGATAACCAATTTAATAGAACTGACATCATAATACTGCTAATAATTAGTTATTAACTTTTACTAATAAATGCATTAATATTTAGCCATAAATCTGAACCTAAAAGATAGCTGAAAAGAAGCTTTTACATGCTGCTGAAACTTTTATACATCAATATTTTCATCTTGATTGAAAATCTATAGGTATTCTGTGTTTAAAAAGTCTAGTAAGAGAGGAAAACTCACAGATACTGCTATTTCATTTGGCAAATAAAACCACGAACATATGATTTTGATAGGAAAACAACAAATTTGATAAATTAAGAATCAGAGAGGAGACTGTTGTCATCTTAGTAGTCTAGATTGTTTTGCATATTTGAGTTCACTTGACAATATGAGGGCGTGCTTCATTGTTATTGATTAAAAAGATGAACATCTGATCTGACTAAACATTATAATTAAGAATTTAATAAGATTAATTAAGAATGCAAGAATACCTATATTAATTTGTATTTTGGATTTTTCTGATTTGTATCATTACTCTAATTTGTTAAGTACAGAGCAGTCATTTAAAAAAATATTGGTGAGAACTTTTAAGTATTAGAGATATGTGATTAAGAAACATAAGTGGCTTATTCTGTAATGATAGAAAAAAGATGAATATATAAGCAAATAAACAAATAAATGCATAAGATAATTTTTTTGGAGGGGGTACCAGGAATTGAACTCAGGGACACTCAACCACTGAGCTACATCCCCAGTCTTATTTTGTATTTTAATTGTGAGACAGGGTCTCACTGAGCACCTTGCTGTTGCTGAGGCTGGCTTTGAAATTGTGATCCTCCTGTTTCAGTCTCCTGAGCTACTGGCTGCATAAGATAATTTTGAACAGCTCTAAAAGCCATGAAGAAAGTAAAGCAAGGTAATAAGATACAGAATTAAGTAGAGGTAAGTGGGCTAACTAAGATATGACATTTGAGCTAGTATCTGATTAACAAAGGTTGAGAGTGGTTATGTTCAAAGGTGAGGCAATGGCAAGAGAAAGGACTAAGATTATATGCTCAAGGAGAAAAAGAAGGCCAGGATGGCTGGTGGGCAGTGAGAAAGAGGAGACTGACCTGACTTCCACTTAGAGAGTAAGACTGCAATTCTATTCAAATTATTAGAGGAAGCTTCCAGAAGGTCTTAAATTGTGACGTGATATGACCTACATTTATTTATTTATTCATTTATTATTAGTTACACATGACACTACAATGGTCTTGACAATTCATACATTTGAATCAAATGGGATACAATTTCTCATTTTTCTGATTGTACAGGTTGCAGAATCACCTATATACATACAGCAATAATAATGTCTATTTTATTGGGCTGCCCTTCCTTTCCCCCCTTCCCCTCCCCTCCCATCATGACCTACATTTAAAAACATCACTCAAGCTGATATTTGTAAATGCACTACAAATAGTAAAGAATGGAAGTGCACACAGACTAACCAGAAAGTAATTAGGTGGAATAAGGAAAGGTCTTGGAAGTGGAACTGATATGACTTGTTGATGGTTAGATGTGTAGAGTTATGGAAAGAGAGAAATCAGAAATTACTCCCAGGGTTTGAATGGATGGATTTGAGATCCAGTAAGAGATGGAAGACTAAGGGTGAAACATATTTTAGAGAAATTCAGATCAGTAGAATATTAGCAAGTAGAATAATAATATAATATATCCACACTGACATTCACATTAAACTCAAGAGAACTAACAAGCAATAAGCATTTCAAAACTATAGGGAATATGATCACCGTTTAGATAATTTTTCTTATTAGGAAAAATCAGCCTACTTTAAGTCCCAAGACCATTTTCAGCTCTGGAAATGAAAATTAAAGTTATTGAATTTTGGCCATATGTGGGCATATTTTATTCCAGGGAGAAGTTCTAGAAACTCTAAGGAATCTAAACACAGCAGCTATTAAATGTGTGATGAATTAAATGACACCTGCTTGTCCCCTTACAGTAAGACCCTGTAATCTTACATACATCAGAATGAAGAGAAGGATTAGGAACTCTTGAAATTCTCATGTATTTTGAATCTGAATTACATCATTCCCTTAATTTAAAATTTCTATTGTACATTAGGTGTATGTGCACAGTATAAGCATGTGTATTTCTTTATGATATTACTGAACATAAGGCATAAGTATGCTGCAAATCATTCTTAATGAATGATCAACACTTTCCTACATTTTATTTTAAAATGAATAGTTTCTACATACCTGTAGCACATCACCCAGGTCTGCTGTGCTAATATCTGGATCCTCTGTGGTGTTGAAAGGTACAGGAGTTATTCGTACAAGGGTGAGTACTCTGGGTTCTGGATACCTCCACAACATCATTCCTGGGCTATCTTCTGTTTCATTATAAAACAAGACTTCATAGACACCAGGGAGTTTCAAAGGTTCTGTCAAATGAAAATATAATACACTGTATGCTTTTAAAAGGGACATGATGGTTTCTTAGAATGAGAAGAAGGTTTTAAGATCAAGAGAAAAGAATAAAAAGAAACCATCTGATAATTTTTATATGTTTTGGGATAGAAAGAAATCAAGAATTCCCTTGAAAGACTGAATGAGAATGCATTATTATTGTACTGTAAGTATGAATGCCCTGTACAAGTGATTGATGTGTTGTAATATAGTAAGTACGAATTCAAACACCCACACATGCACACATACTCTCATACCTACTTACCAGCATCTTGAATGTACTGAAAGTGACCCGTTCGCAGGTCATCTGAACTGTGTTCACTTTTAAAGGCCTGAGTTTTTTCCACAGGAGATGGCATCTGAGGTACTGGTTCAGAAACTAGCACTTCAACATTTCTCTCCTCTTTAAGATATCCATTGAGTAATTCATGAAGGAGGACTAAACAATTCAAATGTTCTTGACCCCAGAAGACCTTTAAAGTGACATGAAAAATTGTGCTGACTTTAAATACAAAGAATTCTTAAGGGCAATTAGGTGCAATCATATTTAAACTAATGCAAGACAGAAATTATTTTCATTTTATAGTTATTAACAATAAACTAATTTCTAAGAAATAGTTAACTTATAGAATGAGATTCTATTAAGTAAATATAACAGCAAAATCAATTATATCATCTATTGTGTGAGTAACACATCTTAAATGTTAGATCAATGATGAAATTATATTAATGTGAAGTAATGTTTATAAACTCATTTATCCATTAGGGCAAAGAAAGCTTATTATAGTACAAGAGAAGGCAATGAAGATCCTCTAGGCCAAAGTGCTAATAAAATAGTAATAATAACCTTGTGGAATAGCTTCCTGGATTTTGTCATGAGATTAAATAAACAATTCTGATTGTGGGGCTCATTTCTTTGCTCTTTTATACTTCAGAGAAAAAAGAGAGAAGGAACCTGCTCAGTGGTCTTGAACTTGGAAGGCTATCCAACTTCTTTATGTAGTAACAATATGCTAATATATGGGATTCGATAGCTCCTTCCTGAGACTATACTGCCAGGAGCTACAGAAGAGTTTCAGAACAAAGGGACAAAGAGAGTTTCCATGTAATGGAGAAGATGAAATTTTCTTTTTCTGCTTTTGAATAATAATAATATTCTGTGACAGAATACTAGTCATAGTGATTACATCAGAGAATTTAAAATTTCCTTAATGTTAAAATTTCTCTGAATATACTGGGTAAAGTCAATATAACTATTAATTCTAAGAGACCCCTGGTCAACACAGAAAAGACAAAAGAGCATACAAAGATAGAAAATAATAGCCTTATACCTTGTGGGTAAGTTTTAAATACTACACTTAGGTTCTGTTCTTTGGAATTGAGGCATCTCTGAAATGGAAGTAAGAGATACAACACTGTCTACTTTAGTTCTCATCAAAAAGAAATAGAGATGAGTGAAAAGTCAAGGTGGAGAAAAGAACACCATGACCTGTATCTATGCTGTTAAAAACAGGCACTGACTAGAATGTAGTTATGATATACCTTGATTTTGCTCTTATTTCTGTTTTTAATGTGTAGTTATTTTGCTGCCTTGGAAAAAAGTTAATAATGTTATATTATTCTCTAGAAAGCACTACAAAACTGTATGCTTCTCGCTAAATACCTGAAGATTTACAATAGACACTGAAAATCTCCAAAGTAACATAAAGCAATAAGCTACTGGGGTCTCCCAAATATTACTCTGAGTCAGCAAAACTGGTGAAACTTGAAGCAATACAATTTTCAGATGAAATCAAGAAATTTATGTTTAATATGCCTCCATTACTGACAAATCAGCCATTTCAACCTTCTAGTATTTGAATTTTGTAAGCTTTTTGGATTCAGGCAATTTTAGAGGGTATTGAATCACATAAAGATCAGATTAACATCTATTCAAATATTACCAAGAAATAAGATAGGTACCCACACATTGTGGTATATAAGGCAAATGCATAAGAAGTTGCAATGTGACTTACAGCAAGTATTAGTAATCAGCAATCATAATATATAAGAAATCTGTCACCAGGAATGGTTCAACTACTTTGCAGTTATAAAAGTATTTATATTTTAAAAAGTTTCACCCAAAAATTCTACTCCTAATTATATACCCAAGATAAATGAAAACACAAGTCTACACAAAATGTTTTTTTTTAATTTTTTTTAATATTTATTTTTTAGTTTTCAGTGGACACAACATCTTTGTTTGTATGTGGTGCTGAGGATCGAACCTGGGCCGCACGCATTCCAGGTGAGCGCGCTACCGCTTGAGCCACATCCCCAGCAGACAAAATGTTGAATGCAAATGTAATATCAGCATTATTTTTAACAGCCCCAAGTAGAAAGATCCCAAATGTCCCTCTCAACTGAAGAATAAGTGGTAAAAAAAAAAAATGTTCTACAATTGGCCATGGTAATGATCGCACAACTCTGAGATGATACTAAGAAACCACTGAATTGCACTCCTTGAATAGGTAAATTATATGGCATGTGGTTATACCTCAATAAAATTGCCAAAAATTTTATAAGATAGCAATCTGATAATACCCTTTTCTCACCCACAAAGGCTTAAAATTTAGTGAAATAGTTCAAAAAAACAAAGGCATCTAAAAATTTATGGGGAAAAAAAGGGTCAATTCCTACTGACCTGTAGCAGACCACCTCTTAAATCGATGGATATTTTTGGTATGGACTGTTCTGGCCCTAGATTGCCACTGTGTTTACACCACTTAGCTTCTAGATTAGTGGTAGCACAAAATGGTCCTATGAGAATCCGACTTCTTTCTCTGAGACTTGTTTTAAGGAGAAAATCATTTATGCTGAGTAGAAATGATGATCCAAGAATTATGCCTAAAAAAGAAAAAAGAAAAAAAGAAAATGGAAAGAGGTACATAATTCTTCCTCGAACCCTCAACAAGAGTTCGGGAAAGGACTGTATATTTTTAAAGAGTGTTAATTCACCCACTGTCAGAATCTTCTTTTTCAGTTGGCTTTCCAACCACAGTTTCATGCCATTTAAATATAATTCAAGTTATGAAGCAGGTATACCTCATTCACATTCTTAACAAAGCAATATTTGCCAAAACATTATGATTTTTCCACAAGTGAGTATTTTAAATTTTATGAGACATTTTCATTAAACTGTGCAAGTTTTTCAAACAGCTATGCTAAGAATAAGAACAGCTGCTTCATTTGTCTATCATTAAAATGATGGGAAAGGGCAATTTTCTGTGATTTCTTATAGCACCAGAGTACAATATATTATTTTGCTAGGTACTCAAGTTTTTGACTGTCCTATGCTAAAATTCAAAACAATCAAAATATATAACATGTGTTTTCTAAAAAATTTAGTTTAACCCAAACTTCACACATCATAACCACTTGAAGTTTACAAAGTCTTAAAAACAGATAGTGGCAGATTAGATTTATGAGAAAAACTAAATGCTGTAGTTCAAAGTAAATACACCCAGAAAAGGAATACACTTCAAAATGTAGGTTTTCTTTTGAACTTAAAGTAGGAGTAAGGATCAAAACCTTTTCATAAAACTAAGAGTACACTTTTAAGATATTTAGATGCAAACTTAGAGTGGTGAGTTCACTTTCCTTCCAAGGAGCTTATATTCTAAATTGTCATTGTGAATATTGAATTTCACCAGACCAAGTGTGTAATGCACAGGGCTTATTTTTCTAATGCTATTTGATCCTTAAAAAAAGATGAAAGATTAAAAAAACACCTTATGCCCACAGCATACACAGTTCCTAGTATTCACACTGACTTTTCAATTCCATGGACATTTGAAAACTTCATGAATGTTGTATGTTCCTACTGTGGAAATGAGATACACAACTTTTAGTTCTGCACAGAAGGCATCATACCCACAAAAGTGTCAGCTTGAAGACTTCTGTTCAAAAACTACTGTGGAAATCAATCTCTTAAATTTTGAAAAAAATCTACTGTGCTACTGACACTTTCATTTCTTCACCCGATTATCTTTATTCAAAGTTACATTTCACTTAGACTAAAGGAAAAAATCAGAAAACAAGAGAAATAGAAATAGGTTAAAAAATACTCAAGAATCAAAACCATCTTTATCGATAGGGTTCATAACTTAAGTCATAACTTCCTGAAAACTGCATTACATTTCCTGACTTCTCAACAGTAAATATCTGCTAAATGAAACACGTCAATTCATCATCCAGAAATTGTTGTAACAGGATTATAAAAACAGACTTAAGCATGGTGCTTCACATCAGTCAGTAATCCCAGCTACTCAAAAGGTTGAGGCAAGAGGACTGTGAATTAAAGGTCAGCCTGAGTAACTTTGGAAGGCCCTGTCTCAAAAATAAAATAAAAAGGGCTGATGTTATAGTTTAGTGGAAATGTATACCTAGCATGCTTGAGGCCTTGGATTCACTGGCAATTAACAGTATCATGGGGTCCAGGGAAGTATAAGCTTACTCTTCTGACAGAAGATTAATATCTAGAATATATAAAGAACTCAAAAAAGTTAACACTGAAAAAAAATAAATCAAAATGGGCATGAACTAAACAAATATTTCTCAAAAGAATATAAACGGCCAAAAAACATGTAAAAAAGTGTTCCACATCCTTAGCAATCAGGGAAATGAAAATTAAAACTACACTCAGATTTCATCTCATTCCAGTTAGAATGGCAGTCATCAGGAATACAAATAACAATAAATGCTGGCAAGAATGTTGGGGAAAAGATACCTCATATATTGTTGTTGGGATTGCAAATTAGTATAATCACTTTGGAAAGTAGTATGGAGAACCCTCAAAATTTTGACCAGGAATGGAGCCACTATATGACCCAGCTATCTTGCTTTTGGTATTTATTTGTTAGAAAGAACTAAAATCAGCATACTACAGCAATACATGCATACTGTTCACAGAAGCACAATTCATAATAGCCAAGTTAAGGAACGAGCCCAGGTGCTGGACAATACACGAATGGATAAAGAAAATACACAATAAAGTTTTACTCAGCCCTGAAGAAGATGAAATTATGTCATTTGCAGAAAAATAGATGAAACTAGAGAACATGATGCTAAGTTAAATCAGTCTATCTCAGAAGGTCAAGGGTCAAATGTTTTCTCTTGTATGTGAAAGTGAGAAAGAGCAAGCAAGAGAGCGAGAGAGCAAGATAAAGAGCAAGAAAGCGAGAGCAAGAGCGAGAAGGAATTTTTAAAAAAAGGTGATCTCACAAAAATAGAAGGGACATCAACAGAATAGAGGAAGGTACAAGGAAGTACAGGGAAATGAAATATACCAAATTATGCTATGTGATATATGAATATACCACAATTTTTATCCTGTAGAGATATATGTGTGTTCATATATATATACATACATATATATATATATATATATAGTACTAATTGAAAAAATAATATAGTAGTAGGAGGTATATCAGCAGAATAGAGCAAGTGGATGGGGGGAGGTGAGGGAAAAAAAGGAAGTGGGGAATGAAATTTATCAAATTATGTGCATACGGGCTGGGGATATGGCTCAAGCAGTAACGCACTTGCCTGGCATCCGCAGGGCCCTGGGTTCGATCCTCAGCATCACATAAAATAAAGATGTTGTGTCCACTGAAAACATTTAAAAAAAATTCTCTCTCTCTAAAAAAAATTATGTGCACACAAATATGGCATAATAAATCTCACTATTATATATAATTGTAATGTACCTATAAAATTTTTTTTAAAAAGGGCTGGGGATGCAGCTAAGTGGTAGAGTGCTTACTTGATATGCATGAAGCCCTGAGCTCAATCACCAGTAATAAAGGGCAAGTTTATGGAATAGTAATTATCTATCAAAGAAAAGACAATTAACAGAGAGAGCTGATATTTATCTCTGGAAGTTTCTTTAAGAGTGAGCTCAACAACATTTTTTCTGATGCACACAGTGAGATTATCTTATCTCGCTCTACAGCAGCTTTCATTGATACAATAATATTTGTAAGCATATGAAAATAAGATTATCTTATCTCGCTCTATAGCAGCTTTCATTGATACAATAATATTTGTAAGCATATGAAAAAAAATCTTACCTATGCAGACATAACATAATACACACTATATCTTACTACGTTTCTACTGTGTAGAGACTACTTCAAAATACTGATATTGTATATCCAGTTTCTTAGGTTTTGTCTAGAGAATTCTAGTACTGGAATGCTAAAATTTGTGTCATCATGCCTTTTATATACTCTGAAAGTTTTGTATCTTTTCTCAAAAAGGAATTTAAGTAGGTTGATGAAAGGAGCTCTTCTTAACTCCCTCAAATTATGCAAGTATAAGTATTTACTGATGACATTAAAGCAAGAATGAAAAAAATCTTCAGACTTGAATTATTACAAAAACAAATACGAAATGGTGAAAGTTTTTGTGTCACTGTGTGAACTGCTAAACCCATGAACATTTCCCTGTCTTTAAATGAATCTTATTTTTATTTACTTTGGGCAGAGAGAATGGGATGGCTGAAATTATCAGGAGAGAAAACATAAAGGTAGCATGTTAGCTTCATATTCCTATGATGAAATATCTGAGATAAGTAACTTATAAAGAGAAAAAGGTTATTTTGGATCACAGTTTTGGAGGTTCCAGTCCATGACTGATTAGCCCCATTGTTTTGGGCAGATGGTGAGGTGGCACATCATTGTGGGAACACCTCATGATCAAGAAGCAAAGAGAAAAAGCAAGAGACTTGAGTTTCAAAATTTCCTCTGAGGGCATGCCCCCAATGACTTCTGATAAGGCCCCGACTCCTAAAGATTCACAGCACCCCCCAACAATGCCAGGCTGGGGAGCAAGTTGTTAACACATGGACCTTTGGGGGGCACTTAATGTTCTAACTATGCAAGTAGAAACTGAAATCTCAGGAAAATGTGACAGAATTAGGAAGCCAATGGTTGGTCAATCTGTGGAAGTCTGAAACAACAAGAAGAAAGTGAGCCAGACTCATCTGAGTCCTGAGAAGGGCAGGAGGATGCACAGTATGCCTGAGATAGGGACCTTGTAATTGTGTATTGTGTCAGGCATTGACCCAGGTACTGCTATGTTCCAGATTGGGAACTTGTCACATTTTATAGAATTTCATGTTTGATATTCACTGGAGTTTGGTTTGGTTCAGAGATAAGCATGAAATCCTACAATGAGGTATACTGCTACTTTGGGGAAAATGACCTTTCTTGCTTCTTAATGGACGATACTGGAGGTACTAGATGGTACCAATAACTGGAGCCCAAAACTGAAGCTGGGTAATGTGGAAGGAGGAAACCTAACGATTGCTGTGGGAGCTGAGGGCAGCACTAGATTGGCACTTTTCTCTTTCATGATACTATTTAACTCACTTTTGGTTATTTTTCTTCACTTGCCACCCTAAGCATCCCAACTGATGGACATTTTCTAACCAATGGGATTTTCTTTTATTTTTTCTTTTTTAAAATATACTTTTTAGTTGTTGATGGATCTTTATTTATTTGTATGTGGTGCTGAGAATCAAACCCAGTGCCTTGGGCTTGCTATCCCTGAGCCACAACTCCAGCCCCACCAATGGGATTTTCAAGGTAATCCTTAGCCTGCTATTCTTCTCTCCCTAATCTATTTCAGTGTACTTCTCTATTCTCATGGCTTTAAAGATAATTTTTTTTTTTTTTGGTGGAGTGTCCACAACCAGACCTATTTTCTTAAACAAGTGCTACTCTATGCTTCTGTGTATAAGACAACTGGACATTCTGCATCACCTTCAGCTTAATATTATGCATGCATATATTAATTATTGAAACAAAATTCACAGATTATATAATACCTTGGGTATATAAAGA